GGGACCGTCCACCAGAAGTTACCAGCACAAGGTCAGACAAGCCTTCCCCCACCCGCACAGCGGTGAGGTTCAGCCCTTCCCCTCAGCTCAACTGTGAGGTTCAGCCCTTCCCCTTAGCACAGCTGTGAGGTTCAGCCCCCTTACATCCTCCTCAGCATTTGCATAGGTACTTGTGCGTAACCAGTTCATAAATACTGCCAGCATTCAAGAGCTGGGTGTCAGCAGGGCCCTGCCACACCCATGACACCTACAGCAAGCAACTCTCGTGTTTGGGGTTCTGATCTAAGGAAGCCTTCACGTGCACTTTTTCGTTTGTTTTGTTTTTGTTTGGTTTTTCTGAGTCAGGGTTTCTCCGTGTAGCCCTAGCTATCCTGGAACTTGCTTTGTACACACCAGACTGGCCTTGAAGTCAGATGTGCTGGGACTAAAGGCTGGAACACCTGGTCTCGCACACATTTTATAAAGTCTATGCAAGAAAGTGACCCAAATAGTCCATTTCCTTCCACAATGGGTCATCTGGTCTCGATGAAGACTAATGGAAACCAAGTGGAGAGGAGAGATGCCCATCTCTACTGAGTCATTTACTTTGGAGATCTGGGAACGGAAAGGAACTGGGGTATTTCAGGGAATTGGGAGAAGTGCGTGGGCTACAGAAGCATGGGAGCTTCTGGCCCGACCCCAGACTATGTCTCTAGGAATCAAAGAGCTTTGATTTACCAAGGACTTTGAAAGGAAAAGAGACTAGCGAAAGCCAATCCCTACCCAGACCTCTAATGGAACTTTAACCCCGCTGACACCAGGGGGACACTTTCCAAGATCACTGAGGTGCTCTGGAACCAGTTAGGGACAATGGAGACACTAGGTGCAGAACCCTTTAATAGCTGGTGGTCACCCCAAATGGAACAGAAGTCTGTGGAAGAACAACTCAGGAGAATGAGTCCTGTGTGATGCCCCCCAGTGTCGCTTGGTGATGGAAAAGGGGTGCCAAAGGCAGGGCAGAGAGAGCGGGAAGTCCTGGCTGCCTTGCTGCCCATCTGCACAAGTGCCTTCTCTTTCTTATTACAAAGGCAAGCAGAGACGGGAAACTTCCCACGCAAGTTGCCAGCGCTGGCACTGAAGTCAAACACAGAAACTAACTTCCATCCCTTTTCCCTTTTCTCCTCCAGCTTCCTTGGTTCCACAAGAAATGAGAAAGGACTGACTTCCAACAAGTCACGTGGAACAACTGTGGTCAGTCACCCCATTCACAAGGACACTTGCTTTTGTCCTCTCCCTCCCCCACCCCCTCCGAAGCATCCACCCCCACCACCACTTTAAGCCTTCTCTCGTTTCCTGTCTTGTCTCTACGAAAAGAAAATTTAGCTTATAAGCTTTTAGACTCAACAAGAAAACAGTCCAAACGACATGCAAGGACGCTTCCTTCTGCCTCTCTGGGGTCTACATCAAAGACGGAAGCTTGTTTGTTCTCTTCCCAGCCCTAAAGACGGGCATGAACCGGCCTGTTCTGAGGAACTCTGTTCAGTGGGCAGCCTTAGTTCACACACCAGGAGCCAGAAACTTCCCTTATCTCCTCTTCCCACCCCCAGCCAGCACCCTCTCTCTGCCTCTCCTCCTCTGCCCCCTCTACATTCCTCTTCATCTCCTCTGAGGTCAGCACTGTATTTAAAGCTCTGTGTTCACCCCGTTCCCATCAGCAAGATTTAGTTTTTGATGGGAGGCTCACCGAAGAGAAATTCCATCCGCTTTTCTTCTGGGAAAGCATCCGCTCTGTTTTCCAGACTCAAATCCTTGCTCTAGCGTTTCTGGTAACATGTGAAAGTTCCTGGCTTTGCTGAAACAGTGCCACACACATCTGGAGTGTCTTTTCATACCAGCATTATTGGAGTCTCTTTTCTCTCAATTTTATGGGATGAAAGGGTTTTTTTTTTTCCCGCTCTCAACTCTTTAATAAACACTTACCAATTTGAATTTTCATGCTAAGACAAAAACAAAAACTAAAGGGGAAAAAAAAAAAAAACCCAAATCCTGCCAATTCTAAAGCAAGTTCATATAATAGCCCTGATCTCAGTACATTTCAACTGGCTGCGCTGCCCCAGTGAACTTGAACAACAGCTCAACAGTGTCCCCTGGTGGCCATGAGCACAGACACAGGACACTCGCGTGATGTGTAGTCTCAAAACAAGGTAAAAAGACATAAACAAAGGCAAATGCCTATTGCAAGCTGTCCTCTGACGTACATATAATCCATGGCCAGCCCCCTCCTGCAGCACACACTGAGAACAAAAACTACGAGGTGTAACTGAAACATTCTTAAAGCGGTAAAACCCACACAAGTCTGACAAGGACCAGAAACTAGGAGATGGGAGTTTACTCTGCTCTATAAACTCTCAGTTGAGCATCACTTGTCTCTGGCTCAAGATACTCTGAATTTCCCTTGATATAAGATCTGACTCCTCAGCATCAGTTACCTCCGGCTATTATTTGACAAATATGGATTTATTGTGCTACGTGTCGTTAGCATTTGTTGAGGAATTCAAGATAGAAATGAACAAAGAGGGGGGTGGAAACCTTTGCTTTCAAAACCTTTTTTTTTTTTTAGAAGGGGAGAAAGATTTAAAAAAAAAAAACAATTTTTAAGATCCAAAAACCAAGGAGGGTGAGTGAGAGAAAGTAATAGGGTAGGGGCTAGAGAGAAGGCTCAGGGGTTAGGAGCGCTGGCTGCTCTTCTAGAGGTCCTGAGTTCAATTCCCCGCACCCACATGGCAGTTCACAGTCATCTATAACTGTAGTCCCATGGGATCTGATGGCCTCTTCTGGGGCGCAGATGTACACGCAAACAAAACACCCATAAACATGAGTTTAAAAGTCTTTAAAGGAAAGTGATAGGGTAGCGAGTGAGGAGGGGGGTTTTGAAAAGATGGTCAGGTGAAGCCTCTCCAAGGGTGCTATGGTTTAAATATGATCCCCAGATACCATACGCCTGAAGTCAACACCATACATTAGCAGTATTTGAAAAATGGGACTTTGGGGAGGTGACGGAGTCTCGAGGGTCTTGTCCTTGTGCTGGGCTCATCCATTTGTGGATTCATGGGTTATCTGGAGAGCTGGTCTGAGGAAAACCCAGTAGTCTGGTTATACTTTCTCCACCATGTGATACCTCTGCCAGGCCATGGCCCAGCACGAAGGTCCCCACTACCTCTGACCGGATGCTGTCCTCCAGCCCACACTTTCCAGCATCCAAACAATGGGCTGAAGGAAACTAGTCTCCGTAAACCAGCTGTAGCAAAAGAGAGCAGAGTGAGACAGGGTAGGACCAATCACACCTGAGTGCTCATGGGAAATCTCAGAGAGACCATGCAGGAAAGAGTTAACAGCAGATGGAAAAGCCTGGAGCAGGGACAATCCTAACTCATTTAAGAAAAAGCAAGAAGGTGAGTTAGTGCCTGATGAGGAAGGCGATGAGTCAGGTTAAAGGAGGTGGTCCAGGGTTGGAGTACAATCTCTGTGCTAAAAAATAAAATTGGATTCTAGTCTAGCTTTAGAACTCGCGGGAGACCTGTGAGCAGGCACAGCCACGTTCTTACTCTCTAGAAGGCACCGTAGCTGCTGAGTGATCCTTTTAAAAGTAGGATGAAAGCTAAGGTCACAGTTTGCGGTGGAGAGTGACAGCCACGAGTGAAAGCAGGAAGAAACTGCCACACAAGCCGTGGTTCACATGCCTGTAACCCTAACACCTGGAAGACTGAGGCAGGAGGATCACGTGGTTGAAGCCAGCCTGGGCTATACAGGAAGTATGATGGAAGGCTGAAGAAGGCAATGTAGCTGGGGGTGGCATGGGCTCATTGTTAAACAAGTTGTTGCAATGGCCTTGGTGGCATTGGGAATAATTCTGCACTGGACGGAAGTTGGCAAGAAGGGACGGGATCCAGCACACACTTGAGGGGGTAGCAGCTGTAGACGGGAACAGGAACACGAGGGAAGGCGCTATACAGGAAGCAAGGCAGGAATGGGAGGTGTGGGTAAATGCGTCTCCACTCAGCATTTTTAATTCCTCACTGAGACAAAAAGCAAGAAGCTACATTTGGGCTGGAGGTCAGGGCTCAAAGACTTGAAGACACCAGGGATAAGTTAGCAGAAGGCAATTTACTGGGGGCATAGACTGCCTGGTATGTTCCTGGTCTAAGCTACCCCTAAGGCAGTTGTACCAGAAGTCTATTAATATGTGCACTATGTGAGTGTGTGCGCACGTGTGTGTGAGTCAAAAGACAACTAGAGGGATGGGTTCTGTCCTCTACCATGTGGGCTCCAGGGGAAAATCCCAGTCTCGGGCTTAGGGGCAGTTACAGCAGAACCATCACCTTATTTTTTGAGACACAGTTTCCCACTGAGCCTGGAGCGCCTCTATTCAGTAAGTCTTGGTATCTCTGACCCCAGTGCTGAGTTACATGCCTGACTTTTTATGTGAGTGCCAGGTCCCCCAGCGCTTATACAAAGAGCAATTTGACTGCCAGGCCATTTCACTACCACTGGAATGCTAGTTTAGTGTGTTACTAGAGAACAGTTACAAGAAATCTTTTTAGGTATGAAATGTTTTAGACTTGTTGGTTGTTATTGTTGCTGCTGCTGCTGCTGCTTGGTTTATTTAGGGGTTTGGCCCAGGCCGACCTCAAACTTGCTGTGAACTCCTGACCCTCTTGTCTCCACCTCCCAAATGCTATGACATAGATATGAAGCACCATGCCTGGCTGAAATGTTTTGACTGTTTCAAACGCCCAGAAGGGACTTAACTCACAGGTTTATACTATCTAAATTTAATTGACATTTTGTTTCAGATAATGAAAGAGTGTGGGCACAGCTGTCTGCCTCTTCATACCCCTCTCCCATCCCACATCTTCCCTCCCTTCTTCAAGCCTCATTGATCACGACAGAAAGCAACAGTAGTTTGTGGGCTACCAACAGCTCTGTGGTAACTTCATTAATCCAAATGCTGTTATTGTTACCTGCTATCTGGGTTGTCAGGTAGATGACCACAGGAAGTGCTGAAGACAGAGCCTGAAGGCTGACATTGTAGTTGGTACCCGGATGCAGGTCCAGGCAGAACTCAGGGGCCTGGCTGCTACTGGTGATGTTAAAGACTATTTCCAGAACAAATGCCTTCTGATACCATCTCTGGCCCCAAATGTGGAACTGAAAGATAAAACCGTCACAGGGTGGAACACTGGTTTGAAGGTTCTGAATGCCTTGAGACCTACGCTTTTTCCAGGAGTTCTCTCCCCACCCTCTTCTCCCCCGCCCCATAGAGCTTTTCCAAGAAGTAAACGCAACAATAAGCTAAGAGTAAATTCTCAACACTATACATATTTGTACAGATAGTGATTATAACACCATGAGGACTATACATATATTTTACAGTAAAAGTATACACAGCTGATCATTCTGGTTGATAGTTGTAATCGCAGTCCTCAAGAGGCTAGATTTATTGATATTTTATTTTTGTGTGTGAGGAGTGGCTGTGTGTGCTTCTGTGCAGGTGTCCACAGAGGCCAAAAGAGGGCACAGAATCCCCTGGGGTGGGAATCACAGGCAGGTGTGAGCTTTGGGTGTGGGTACTGGGAACCAAGGCTCCAGGCTTCTGCAAGTGCAGCACACACTTTTTCTTGTACCGCGCTGGTCTAGAAAGGCCAGCCTAGGACACATAGTAAAACTGTCTCAAAAATAAACAGGCAAAGCTCAGAGGCCCCTCCACAGGCTGCCTGTTCCTTTCTATTTCTATCCTTGCACACACAGCGCGGAAGCCTGTTGGCAAGGCCACAGAAGCACGGCCAAAGAACATTTCCCTAGAGAGAAAATCAGGAAGCTAACCAGGCACAACCTGATTCCTTTTGGTGACATCCAGTAGCTGAAGCTGGGGGAGCTTTTCTTCCCATGACCACCTTTCATTCAGGAATCATCTAGCTTCCCAGGTTCCCTTTGACTGTCTGAGCAACCACACATAGACCCTGCGCTCTGCAGAGACACCAGCGTGACCACAGATAACCAGACTCCTACCAGACACTCTGCTTGGGCATCAATTCTGTACCAAGACACACAACTCAAGAAATGTCTGCGCTTTCTTACCACTCCCAAGGAGTCCCTCTGCAGACAAGCTGCGGGAGTGTCTCTTCACTGTTTCTCATTCAGTCCCCATGATACACCTTCTGCCGATGGCAGATACAAACGCATTTTTTTAGTCTTGTAGATTAAAATTTTTTTTTAATGTATTCATTTTATTTTATATGTGTGAGTGTTTTACCTACATACATGCCATGTGTATGTTTGCATGCCTGGTGCCCACAGAGGTCAGAAAGGGGTAGTGAATTTTCTGGAAATGGAGTTATAGATGATTAGGAGCTGCCATGAGGGAGCTGAGAATTGAGCTTGGGTTGTCTGAAAGAGCAGTTGAGCCGTCTCTCCAGCCCTAGATAGGTTCTAAACCTTCCACACAGCGCACATCTGCAAGCAAGGCAAATTTTACAAACTTACTAAATACAGCTCTTCTACATTGGCCGTCTTCAGGCTTCTCCATCTCAGGCAGGTTTCATTATATACTGAAATATTAGTGATGGTCTGTTTGGCTGCGGAGGAAAGAAAGAACTGGATTTACACTGCGTGGAAAAAACAACACAAAACCACTAACTCTTCCTTGAAATATTATCTCAGGAAAAGCATTTACATAGGGCAGATTCGGCAGGGTTTTGATTCAGAAGTCAGGGCAGAAGCTTTCAAGGAACATTGTGTCCGTGTTTAAGTAAAGGGGTCCTGGGGAGGATCTAAGAACTAAAAAAAAAAAAAAAAAAAAAAAAAAAAACACAAAACAGCCAGAGCATCCATCTTAAAATATATAGGCTAGACACTGTCAACCTTGGTTTAGACTAGTCACGTCACTGTCAGCCGTGGTTTACTAGGTTTAGACTAGTCACTGTCAGCCTTGGTTTACTAGGTTTACACTAGTCACTATCAGCCTTGGTTTACTAGGTTTAGACTAGTCACTGTCAGCCTTGGTTTACTAGGTTTAGACTTGGTTTACTAGGTTTAGACTAGTCACTATCAGCCTTGGTTTACTAGGTTTAGACTAGTCACTGTCAGTCTTGGTTTACTAGGTTTAGACTAGTCACTGTCAGCCTTGGTTTACTAGGTTTAGACTAGTCACTATCAGCCTTGGTTTACTAGGTTTAGACTAGTCACTGTCAGCCTTGGTTTACTAGGTTTACACTAGTCACTGTTAACCTTGGTTTACTAGGTTTAGACTAGTCACTGTCAGCCTTGGTTTACTAGGTTTAGACTAGTCACTGTCAGCCTTGGTTTACTAGGTTTAGACTAGTCACTGTCAACCTTGGTTTACTAGGTTTAGACTAGTCACTGTTGACCTTGGTTTACTAAATTTAAGTCAGAACTTGTTGCCATGGGCTTTAGAAATCACTGGGATAAATGGGGCATCAGTTTGAATTCTGAACTAAAGGAAGCATCTCAGTAAGAGAATCGCTCTCTGAGGAAATGAAAACTGCTGCCTCGAGCAGCTGGCCTCTGTGATTAAGTGGGTTTCCCCTGACTTGCAGTCCACATCACGTTCTCAGAATCTGCTGATTTTCGTGCTCATCGATCTAAACTCTAACGCACGGCCTCATACGATCTGGTCCAGACGCACAGCTACCAGACCGCCTTCCTTACCGCAAACCCTGGTATCAGAGGCGACTGCCACGATGCCCCCCCAAACTGGACAGAACGCAGCTGACACGCTAGGCAGATTCATAGGAACCCTGCAGTAACTAAGGCTTAAAGACAACTCCCAAGCACCCGGAAGGGAAGTCCCATGGGAAGCAGGCTCTCCTGGGCAAACCTCCAACCGGACAGATTCCTATGAGTGAAGCTGAGTTGGTAGATGTGACTGACCCTCCTGTGTGGGCTAAGCACGTTTACAAAGAGAAAACATGCTCGACAAGTCACAACCTCACTTCGGACGCTGCCAGAACAGCAGGGAAGGAAGTCCCTCGTGTCTGAGGGACAGAGCCCACTGCTGGGTAAGGGAAAGATGGTGGTAGCAGGCAGGAGTAGTGACCCAGGAGACAGGCCTAGGTCTCTGGACACTTCAAACTGCAAATACTACTTAGTGCTATTACTAATGCTATTGCTTGTTTTGTTTTTGTGGTACTGGGGTTCAAGCCAGGACCTCACGTGCACGAGCAAGCATCCCACTACTGAGCTACAGGCCCAGTCAGAGGCGCCAGCATGAACAATACTATCCCACCAGTTCGAGCTCACACACAAAGTAGTTTTCCAATTCACTCAGTGTAACCAGATGATTCACGATGTCTAAACTGTCCAGGGGATGGCAAAGCAAACACTCAACAGTCTATGCCAAACTTGCTTCCTAATATACACAGAGAAGTACAAAGCAGCCAATAGGGGCTGGAGAGATGGCTCAGCCGTTAAGAGCATTTGCTGCTTCTGCAGAGGACCTGGGTTCAGTTCCCAGCCTCCACACGGCGGCTCACAGACACCTGTAATTCCTGTCCCAGGGAATCCAATACCCTCTTCTGACCTCCATGCGCACCAGGCACACACATGGCACACATACATACACACAGATGCAAAATACTCATACATATAAAATTTTAATTTAACTTTTTTAGATAGGGTCTCACTATGTAGACCGGGCTAGGCTGGAATTCAAAGAGATCCACCTGCCTCTGCCTTCTAAGTGCCCAGATTAAAGGTGCATATCAGCATACCCAGTTGTTTGTTATTTTTGAGTAAAATTGTATGAACATATCAGCTCACAGGTTGACTGTCACGTAGTCAACTCCGTTGGACTCCAGTCTGTTGGACTGCAGCCAATATGTAGGCAGGCCCGGGTGCCTTTGAGGGTCGAACACACACAGTTCACAAAACAAAACAGCATGCCCAAGAAAAATGGATTCCCAGAATCCACACTCGTTACTGGAAAAGCCATTAGTAGGATAAAAGAGACTACGCAGTTACTTTTATATTCATAATGGCAACTACATGTAAATATATTCCTGACTTAAAATCCTGGTTTACAAGGACTCAACTTCTCAGAAGCCCCTTAGCTTAATCATGTTTATTAGAATTTACCACGCTCAGTGGCAGAATAATTAGGCAGTTTCTTGTGAAATTACCAACAATACAAGGATGTCTGGTCTCGGGGCTATTATTTGGTATTAGTCAGGACATTCTAGACAAGAAGCAGGAAGACAATGAGGGGCAAATGCCAAAATGAAAGCGGGAAAGGGACACGAGCGCCAGCAAAACCTCAGAGAAGGAAGAGCACAGCGCACTGCCTGAGGACAACAGGAAAGCCAGACAAACGTCGCTGGAGCTTGGCAAAAACACATCCAGACAGACGAAACACGAAAGCAAGTCCTTTCCTTTCTGTGCACAAGAAAAAGCACGACCATCGGGGTGATGCCCTCAGATGTGAGGTCCCGGCCCTGTGACCTACAAGGCAGCAAGGCCAGGTGGGACCTGGAGATCGGCCTGGATCATCCGGACAGGCTCAGAAGAATAACAAGGATCTTATAAAAACAGGATCAGTTTAAGGAAAGGCGATGTGAAGCTGGGGGCGGGAGGAGGGGTGGAAAGTGGCTCAGTCAATGAAGTGTTGGCACCCACAGAAAAAGCCAGGTGAGCGTAGGCAGGGGAGGAGATGGGCGGATCCCTGTGGCTCAGTCAGCCAGGTCAGCTGAATTAGTGAGCTCCCGGTTCAGTGAGAGGCTCCATGTCAAAAACTAAGGTGGAAAGTGGCTGAGGAAGACACTCGATGTTAACCTCTAACCTCCACATGCATGGCATGCACAGGTACACACACACACATATACATACGCACACACACAATACACACACACACACACACACACACACACATACACCGTAGGCCACACAGGAGGGAAGGAAGGAAAAGAGGCAAAGAGGGAAGATGAAAAGGAGGAGGAAGAGGAGGACTGAGGAGGGGGGTGGCGGCACATGCTCCATATCCTGGCACTTGACGGCTGAGGCAGAGCAGCATAGACTACTCAGGGAGACCCTGTGGGTGACAAAACACTGCAAGAAGGGAGCAAACTGATGGGAGGTGGGACCACAAGCTGAGACAGGAAAGCAAACTGGGAAGCTGAGAGCAAGGAGCTGGGGCCTACTCTTGGACCCTTAAAGGCACACGGGCCTGCCTTCATATTGGCTGCAGTCCAGCAGACTGGAGTCCAACGTGGTTTCAGGTGTCTGACCTCCACGACTACGTGACGGTCACCCTGTGCCATTTTAAGCCACGGGTTTTTCAGAGATCTTGATCTTTCTTCCTAGTTCACTTACCTCATCCCCTATAAAAATCTCAAACCATAGGTATGTTCTATATACTGTTTTTTTCTATGCTTCATACTTTAAAAAAGGTACCCCCCCCCTTTCAAAAACAATCTTTGCAGTTTTGGGAGAGGTTTTGCCCCTCTGGGAGTGATATCAGCCATAATCAGAATGTTGGCATAATTAAATATTTTATTGTTAGTAAAGGGACGAACAAACGGATCAATGGGAAAAGCAGAATCAATAACTAGGCCTATCCACTTGCGACTTTACAGACGGGAAAACAGTACGTCAAATCAGTTGATAAGCAATATTTGTTTTCTCCCTTGATACAATTAGAAAAAAAATATTCTTGACTTGAGCAAAAATTTAAAATATACTATAAAATATAGAAAAGAATAGTCCTATAACCCTAGGTAGGAAAGACATACCAAGAAAACAAAAAAAAAACCCTTAATTTAAATTTTTTTTTATTGTATGTGTACTGCTGCCTGCAAGTAGGTTTGTGCACCACGTAAGTGCCTGGTGTCTGTGGCAGACCAGAAGAGAGTGTTGGATTCTCTAGGACTGGAGTTACAGATGGTTGTGAGATGCCATATAGGTGCTGGACACCAAACCTGGTCTTCCGAAACACTAGCCAAGTGTTCTTAAGCACTGAGCTATCTCTCCAGCACCTAAACATTAATCTTAAAAAAACTGACTAAAGAAAGTTAACTTTTCTGTGTGGAAAAAAATATAATATCCAAGTTTGAAAGCTCAAATAATGGTGGGGAGTGGGGTTGAAAAAATAAATGGCGGTCCAAAAGTTTGAGTCTGAAATGACTGCCACAGGTTCCCGCTCTGAACAGTAATTCCCCAACTGCTGGCGATATTGGGCGCCACCAAGCTCTTAAAAACTGGCTGGCTGGCTGCCTGGGCAAGGAGGTACAGTCCTTAAATCCCAGCACTCGGGAGTCAGAGGCAGGAGGATCTCTGTGAGTTTGAGGCCAGCTGGTGTCTACAGAGAGAGTGTCAGAGGAGCTGAGCTGTTACATAGAAACCCTGCCAAAAAAAAAAAAAAAAAAAAAAAAAAACCAACCAACCAAACAGAAACCGGCTGGCTGAAGCAGCCACAATCTGTGTGAGCTGTAGCCTGGCCCTACCTTCCACCCGCTCTCTGCTCGGCTCCAGCCGCATCCACGGGAACAGCTGCCGCCACAACGCCCACCACAGTGGACGCTGCTCTGCCATGCCCTCTCCGCCAGGAGGAACAGAAACTTCGGAA